CCCCAAAACCCCAAAACCCCAAAACCCCAAAACCCCTATTTATTAATAATTATTGATTGTTTTCAGAGTAAAATATGAGTAGCTTACACATGAATGGGTTCATCCAAGACAAGATTACCTCAGATAGACAAGGTCCCCCGGCTCATCCTCAAGCAGATGCCGGAATGGATGAAGAGAGCAAAGATCCTTTGGTAGCTTTCAGTGAACTCAAGTACAGCACCACTGCTTCCATTGTTTTCTCTGATCTTTGTGAAAGACATGGAGAGAGATTAATAGCCTATGATGTCTATTCTGGAAACTTGATTTGCAACAGATGCATTTACCAGATAGACAATCCCAAGTATGAGTTTACTTCAACAGTCGCTAGAAACATAGCATCAAAAGTCTTTGAAGGAAGTACTAAAGTGACTGCTGCTCTTCAGAAACTGCAAGAAATAGAATCTACAAAGGTCATTAAGAGGCTCCAGAAAGCAGTTCAAGATTTTCTAGAAGAGATACTTCAGGAGCTCTACCAGTTTATGCTGAAGTGCAAACTATTTATGACTGATGCTGAATCAGAAGATAAGCTTTACCTAGATAGCATCGAGTCAGATATGGAGAGAAGCCAGAAAATCAGAGACCATATCTTCGAGCAAGTCAAGAGAGCTCACTTTGCAGGCATAGTCAAGAAATCAGATGTACTAGATAAAGAAATAGAAAAGATGATGCAAATCTCAGTCAGACTTGACGATACTCTGAAGTTTGGAGAGCAGTCTAAGAAATACATTGAAGACAAGTTTGACAAAGACTATGAAGCAATTGACATGGCTGTAGGTCAGATCAACAGTCTTGAAATCATGGAAGCCTTGAAGGTTTACTTCCAGCCGGAGCCCCAAGCCCAAGAGCAACAGAAAGAACTCCTTCACGAAAAGAAGTCTGGAGCTGAGGAAGTCAAAGTGAATACTATCGAGGCAGCAGAAAACACTTGTGAATATATGCCAGAATCCAAAGAAAGTGATATCCAGATGTCTAACTAAAAAGTTCCTGAAATTTGGAAACTGGAGCTAATTTTTCTAAGACAAATATTCAGTTTTCTAGTCATATTGGGGTTTTGGGGTTTTGGGGTTTTGGGGTTTTGGGGTTTTGGGG